CCCCTCCAAAAAATTTATTAACAAGGGGGGAATTTTATGAAGTGGTGGCCCATTGAGAAAATTTTAATTTTGGCCCGGTTTTCTATGCTAATTCGGTCAGAGGGCTGAAATACTTAACAAAACTATAGAATATTGTCATTTGATAAAAATACATCCTCAAATATATCTAAACAAAACTTTCAAATTCGTATTTTGACCACACCCTCAGGTCGTGGGTGTGCCAATATTAGTCGGAGTTAGATAAAGCTTGATGAGACCTTTTAAGTGATACCTGGGGTAACACGAGGAAATAATTATTGCCCTTTGACCACACCCCCAAAAGGGTATAGCTTTCAATGAAAGTTGCATATCTAATATACCTTGCAACTTCATATCTCGATTCCCGAAGACAAATTTGAATTAATCGAGAGCTATAGGTTTTGGGAAACAATTAGGTATTCATTCCAGACCACTAGTGTCTTGTAAAATGCATAAGTTTTGCATAATTTTGCAAAGTTTTACACAAAATTAAGGGACAGCTTCGATCTGAAGAAGTTTACAAAAAATTGTAAATAAGTTAATTTCTCTTCAAAATAAGTGCGAAATTTTGCAAAAGATTGAAAGTTCACAGAATTTTCGATTTTACAATGTTACCAAGCACTGCGTGAATTGCCGTAATGCAGGAAGTTCATAAATTAAGGCAAAGGTTATGATTTTTGGACTTTTTGAATTTTGTGTTTGGGTTACTAATTTTTGTAACCCAGTAAACTGTACGATTACAGAGGATTGTCTGGCAGACAGAAGTTGGTACAATTTTGCAAAGATAAGAAAGATACGATATTCTTTCGGACTCTACGTTTTTAACTTTACGCAATTTTCTACTTCGAGGGAATTTTGGAAACAATGTCGTAATTTATTTGACAATAATTTATTTAAAAACCTACTCCAAGCAACTTTGTGGGGCCTTTTAAGATGGCATTAATACCATCTTGGTAGTTAATGGCAACACATTTGGGTGGAAATGACCCTCACCGGCCAACCACTTGACCGATCATGCCCATCTCCGAACTCATCCTTACTTTTGACCCGAAGATGAAGTGTGCAAAATTTCAAGTCGATAGCTTGTGTTTAAAGAGAGTTATCGTGCGCACAGACGGACGGACAGACAGACATCTTGGTAAATCTATAAGGCCATCTTAAAAGGCCTAAAACCAAACTCCAGTTCAGCGTTAGAGAGCATATCTAATTTCACATTTAAAATTAACTATTGTTTATTGTTATTAATCGACGTTAAAACTAGACAAAACTTAGTACTTGTAAGATGTTTTCAAACTGATTTCATTCCGACAGTAAAAATTAAGTTTTTCTGGTTAAGAAAGATTTGTACATTTTTCGGGCCTAAAAAACCTTATTTTTTGAATATTAACAAATATTTATGCTTTCATTAATTTAAGACAAAACAGTGAATGTGTAAAAAATCGATTGGTGTCAGCTATTTAAAAATTAATGTAAACAGCGTTTTGCATAAAATTTGTAGAAATCACAAGTACGCACTTTTGGAAAATTTTACGAATTTTGCCTCCAAGCGAAATAATTGTGTTTGTTATGAGTTCGGCAAGATTGTGAATTTTTTCATTAGATATATTTATGAAAAAATACTGAATAATTGGACTTTGTGTTAAATTAAGAACGAACCAAAAATAAATTAAAAATTAAAAAGTATTTTCATTTTATAAAAATTTGAATGGTTTTGGCATCATACATAAAAATTCCGCAAAGAAAATAATACCATTTATTTGAAAAGTATTGCGGGAGTCGAAGTACAAAACTAATATTTAATGAAAACTACTCAATTGATTAATTAATTCAATCAACTTAATTGCTTAATAAACCAGGAACATTTCCAAACATGTTAAGAAATGGTCAATTTACTTTGAAAGTAGTATTTTTAAAATGTAGTTTTTAAAAAAATAGTTTAAAAATTATAATTTACAAAAATAACGAGATTAACTTATACAAAAGGCGTTAGGACATGGTTTTGACGAGTTCGCGGGTGAATATCTCTGGCGGGGAGTTGAATTTTGAACTGATTTTTGGTCAGTTGTAAGATAATACTCTCAAAAAGATATATTTAAAATTTTAGGCCGATAGCTTTATAAATGCCCCCTCCAGTGCCCCCAGAGTTGGAAGGAGCCAAAAAAACACTTTCCAAACTGAATTACTCATATAGCATGATAACCTAAGAGGTCAGAGGTGAATGATTGTTAATATTACAACCCTAGATAATCATTGCATGTAATAATAAAAGAATCTACATGAATTACATAATGTTGGGCCTCCATCGTCGCTGATACTTTTTCATGAAAATTGATAAATTGGACCGTGCACAGGAAAATTGACCTGCTGACCTTGAACGCGGACCCACTCGGTCAAATGAAGATTGAGGGCAAAGCTCTAAGTGTCCCAAATAATATTAAATTAAACAGTGAAGATTTTGTGTAAACAGTTTTGGAGAACGACCCTAGCTAATCAGCTGTCGCGGAATCCTAAAAAACTCGTGAACTTATTTGGAAAATTAATGGTCAAATTTTTTAGAAAATAAATTTTACTAATCTTTTTGTGTCCCCTACTGCAGAACTATTTTATCTACAAGGTACAAGTGACAAAATAATAAAATTATTGCGTTTTGGTTAGTTAAATTATTTCTGAAGTTCGACATCGAAAACGACGGGAACTTTTCCAAAAATTTTATAAGGTCTGATGAAAACTCAGTCCGTGGGGTATAACCACTTATCAAAATTTTGTCAAAAGTACTTCAAGTGCAATATACTATATGTACCTTGGATAAAAACCACGTTAGGGATTTTTAGCATCAAAGTCGTAAAATGTGGGGGCCTTAAAAGTGGAAGAGTTGCGTGAAAGAGAGCATTCCATTAAGACAAGTATGAAATTAGACTGCAAAACGGACTTAAAAGATACGCATAAGGCAAACGTGGTTTTATATAGTGAAAAGCATGCTAAGTCCCTTAAAAATAGTCGCAAAGACGATTTTTGCATCAGGACCTAAGAAAAAAATATTTAGTTCAACGCCATTTTATAAGAACACTGGTTTGGAAAACTAAAAAAGGACACCTCTCCAAATTATACCTTGCCTTCTTTCGCAGAGTACACAAAATCGGAAGCCAGATATGCTTACCTATAGTTTGAGACATGGGCTTTCACATAAAACAAGTTAGAAATCTCTACGACTAAAAACCATCCCGCAATTAAAGTATGAATTCGTCAAAACCATGTCCTAACGCCTTTTGTAGATTAACTTGATTGCAAATTGATAAAAATTGTCCACAAAATTAATTAGATTCCTCCTTTGGAATCAGTTCGTGACGGGAATTTGCATTGATTTGAGTGAGGCAATTCACGCAGTGCTTGTTAACATTGTAAAATCTGTACATTTTTAGACTTATAGACTTTTACAAATATTTCGAAGAAAATTTTTGTAAACTTACTCAGATCAAAGGCGTCTCTATATTTTGTAAAACTGTGAAAATTTATTTTACAAAACTTACGAACTTTACAATGTTACAAAGAACTACGCGATTTTCCTCAATATTTTTCCAACAACGTCAACCAACCCTAGCGAATTTCAAGTTAATAAAACGGAACCAATTAAAATTTCGTGTATTTTGTTAAATGACAATTTGTGCAAGTTTTTGAAATGACATTTATACAAATTATGGTGAAACGACAAGTTAATATTCAACCTTGTGCGATATATGCTGGAAATGTATTTTTATTAATTGCTATGAAAATCTGTATTTTTTATTGGGCGTCGTTGACCAGCTGCAAATTACTTTTAGAGTCGCCTAATCAATTTTTATTACTCACGTCAAGCTTTGCATATCTGGCAAATTAAACATATCAACATAACTTGCAAACTTTTGCGAAATTTGCGAAATTTCGTTGGAAAACTTTTGCTGGAAACCCATAGGAATTTTTTTCGCAAATTTTCCTAACAATTTTGTTCTTATTTCACAAAATTAATCATAAATTGATTCAATTGGACGGGTGGTTCAGATATATCTACAAAATAATAAACATATAAAAATTTATCATTTCTTTGCTAACGGCGTCAAACTTTATAAAATGATAAAATTAAGAATAACTCGGGTTTAATCCTTTTGAGGCCGACTTTTTTTATATTTATAAATCATTCCAAACAATTTTACTGAAACATATAAAAGAAATAAAACACGAGAATTATGTATGTTAACGTGTTCTTGACGCAAATTGAGATTGTAGATGTGCAAAAAAATTGTGCGACACACGAATTAAATTCCTGCAAATTTTCTGATATGGTACGTAAAATCGACACTATTGCAAATTATTAAAATTTACATTTAGAAATAAAGTTAGGTACTCACTACGAGTTAGCATCGAAAAAAAACGAAGTTCGCAAAAAAAATTGGCTCGAAAATTCATTTACAAACTTGCGCATTTCCAAGGCTAGTATTTAGTTGGCAAATTTTTGTTCATAATTATTCGTATTGCAACATATAAATTGGAAAAAAATGCCAATTAAATACTAGCCATGGAAATGCGTAAGTTCGCAAATGAATTTTCAAGCCAAATGTTTTTGCGAGCTTTATTTTATTGCGAACGTTGCGAACTCCCAAATGAAATACCCTCAATGACCCGATGAATATCTGTATTGCAAAAAATACCAAATTTCTTAATCTTTCAGCGAAAAAAAAACACCACAAAATCATTCATCCAACTCTTTCCATGCTTATTTCAGGTCAGTCACGTCACGGAGTGTGGAGTGGCGCCTATTTATTTACGGAAATCAAATCAATTCACACTCATATAACGAAAGTTTCAACAATTCGTCCATTCTTCCATTCAATCTCGAACTGCCTAACAAATAATTTACAAATGACCCACTAAACTACACCCGCACTTAAAATAATACCTCTTACACAATGTCCATATACAATTAATTATGTAGGTTGCACTACCCTCCATCCGTCCACGATTGATAAATCCTCATTAATAAATATTTTGCTAATTTGCCGTTTCCGACACAATTTTTGTATGGATTCTCCACCCCAGTTTTTTTAACTGTGTGAAAATTATAGTTAATTAAGTAGGTAGTTAAATTTAACGGGAAGGCGAAGGTGAAGGTATATCCTTAATTTATTACTTCATTTCCGTGTTATTTTTGTCAAGAGGAGGTAAAATGAGACGAAAAATGAGACCTACATAAATAACTTAAAAAACGGTTTCATTTTCCCACATGGAAACTTTCTCTTAATCAAAATTAGAATTTCGCGTCGGTTACAACTTTAGTTTCTAATAATTCCCGAAAACTTTCCCATAATCAAAATTGCTTGGCAAAAATTGAAATTCAGACTGCAACTTTATTTTCTAATATTTCCAGAAACCTCGGAAACTTTCCTCCAATAAAAATTACTTGCGTTTTGCACCTCGCTTTTATTGGAATTTTACGTCTGTTGCAATTTATTTTCTAATATTTCCTGGAAACTTTCAAACTTATCGTTCGCTTTTTTCACAAGCCTCTCATTAATCGGAAGAAATGTTAAACATTTCTGTAAAATTGCAGATTTTGTATTATTTCGCCGCCTGGAAACTTTCCCGGAAATCGAAATCACTTATGTTTTTAACAATCAATTTATTTCTTAATATTTCCAGAAAAGTTTTTGTCTTAAAAAAAATCGCCTTGTTTTTCATAAGCCTCTCATTTCTCGGAATCTTTCACTAAAATGTCTATTAAATTTCCAGATTTTTACCCTCGTCCAAACTATGGCGTACAGACGCCTCGCAATTTTCCTCTTAATCGGATTCCTCTTTGCCCTCGTGGAATCCAGTTCGCTCGAAGTGTCCGCCGAGGATGATGACGATATTATCGAGACGGGCGACCCCGTCGTGGTCAGTCGGGCTAAGAAATCAGCCGATTATTATGACGATGATTATTATGAGGATGACGATTACTCGAGTGAGGAGGAGGACTATTCATCCTCTGAAGAAGACAGCTATGAAGACGACTATTACGGAGGGTCAGATTCTTACGAAGGTAATAAAATTGTTACCGGGCTGTTAACGATTTTGAGTAAGGATTGACCATAGCATTTACAATTCCCACTGTCCAATGATTTCAAACAAGAGTATCTTCCTGATTTTCTAAAACGGTTGTACTAATTTTTTTACTGTTTTATTTAGTAAGGCAATTCACGTAGTCATTGGTAACTTGGTAAAATTTGTAAATTTTGTAAAATGATTTTGCAAACTTTTACAAAATAAAGACACTCCCTTGATCTTAGCAAGTTTATAATAATTTGGAAGCTAATTTTCCTTAGAAATATGTGTCAAATTATGTAATAGTTTGTAACTTCACAAAATGTTTAGAATCTGGTAAAAAACTGGGAAATTTATGGGAACATAATATTCTAAAATGTACCTTTAAAAAATTGTATGACTTTGCCGTTTTTAAACAAAATTTGGTACAGTTTATGGCGAATTTAGTGTTTAGATACAGTCGTCGAGAAGAAAAGATATGCATGTTCACGCAGTCACTGGTAATTGTGTAAAGTAAAATCCATAAATTTTGCAAATAATTTTACAAAATTTTCAAAATAAAGAGTAAGATTACTAAAATTTGTAAATTTAGTAAAATAATTTTACAAAATTTTTCAAAATAAATAATGACGCCTTCGATCTGAGAAAGTTTATAAAAATTTGCAACCTAACTTTCTTTCAAAATATTTGTGAAATTTTATAAAAATTTGTAAAGTTAAAGAATTTAATAATTATGAAATGTTACCGTGACCTGCGTGAATTGCCTCGATGTACATAAATTATGTTAAGAAATAATTCATGGTGAGCAAATCTTACCGCGTGGTAGCGATTTTTCTGCACTATTTTGCAATAAATATAAAATTGTGACTTTCCGTTGAGTTATAATTAAGGAACGCCCAATCTTTCGATGACAGTTTTGCATTTTGTAGATTTTGAAAATTTTAAATATTCAAAATCTTCCTGTTATTTAATAACGAAGACAATTTTGCTCTTTAGATTACGGTGACGATTACGGTGAAGATTACGGTGACGACTATGGTGGTGGTGGTGGTCGTAGTTTTAGCGGTGGCGGCGGCGGCGGCGGTGATGATGCCGTCCCACTTTCCGAATTAATAGGACAAGCTGGTGGTGGTGGTGGGGGTGGCGGTGGCGGTGGACACCATCACGGCGGCGGACACCAAGGTGGTCGATCTCTACTCGGTGGCGTGGGTGGATTACTGGTAAGTTTTGAACGAAATCAAATTCCGGATAACAATGATTTATTTTAATTTTCAGAAAAACGAACGTAATTAAAATAAAAGAATTCGTAATTTTGCAAAGTTGTATATTATGTATAAAAGCGGAGAAAGGTTTGAAAACAATAACTTAAAGGAGTCGTTTTTGATTTATTTGAGCCAAAAATTTCTGTAAACCTAAGTTTTAAGTTAAAATTTCCGTAATTTGTATAAAGCTAAAATTTATTTTGATTTTTCTGAACATTAATTTTTATATTTTAGTTAAAAATTCAAATGTTTTGAAAACATAAGCAAAAAGTTTTTTATTTCGTTAAAAACAATTTATTTCTAAAATTTTCTACTTTTTAAGCTGAGATTTTTGTAAAACTAAAATTTTGTTTAAACATTTTTTATATCCTTTTGTTGAAACGAAATTTTGCATAATTTTTGTAAAAGCAACATTTTTTCATAATTTTTTAAAAACTGAATTTACTACGTGAGAAATCATGTTTAATAGTATAAAATTTTAAATAGAGAAATATCATTTGATTGTTGTGTCCACAGTGGAATTTGTTTAACTTAATTTGCAAATTTAATGTGCGAAATCGTGCTGCAAATTTTAAATGCAAATAAAACGTCCCATTCATTTTTTCAGGGGGGAATCTTGGGCGGAGGTAAGCGCCCTGCTACGACGACGGTGACGTATAAATTGGAACAAGCCAAGCAGCCGATGCCCGTCCTCCAAAATGCGGACATCAGCCAAAAAGCGTTGGCAACCTCGTTCATGGACGCTGCGTTAAAGGCGAAAGAAAAAATGTTGAAGAATTTACCACCCGGGACACAGTTGGAAGGTGAGCAAAAAATGCATATCAATTTTTCGCATGATTCACAAATAATTGGCGAAATAATTATCTTCTACGATAAAAAAAATATGTCGTTTTCCTAGACCGTTTCACAACATTTTTATAAAAAATATGTCGATTTCCTGGGTATATTTATGCACGAACAAAAATCTAATGTGCAAAAAAGCTTTGCGAAATGTTTCAAATTTTGCAAAACTTGGCAAGTTAGTCAAATAGATACGTTAATTTGCGATCAATTTGCAAGATTTGGGTGGGTACGCTAAGTATTAAATCAGAACGTAACATCATTGTCCCCAATTTCGCAACATGATTTGCCAAATAATTTTGCATAGAGTGCAATTTTTTGCTGGTTAGATTTGCACAGAATAATGGGATTCTTTTACACTGAACGTTGTCTGAATTACTGTTTTTCCAAAATGTTTGGCAAATGTAAATAATCTGTGAATGTTGAAGTGAGCATTCCTAATAATAAATCGTATCGACCCAACTTTGACAAGTTTGGAACAAAAAGTTGCAAATTTCGCGAAACTTGGCAAAAATCGGATTGATCTCTTCAAATCAAAATAGTTTATGTATGATCATCATTAATTTTAAATTTTTGCAAATTTCAGAACCACCACCTCCGGGAGGACTGTCTCTCAAGGTACGTAAAACATATACATTTCGAAATCTTACAAAATTTACACACTTTACAAAAAACTCACATGAATTACAAGTGTTTTTTAATGTCAAAACAAAAAAATTGAACATATATCCGAATCTTTTTCAATTCCATTTCTGCCTTCTCCTTTTTTATTTTTTTTCCAAATTCACCCCAAAATTTGTAAAGTGTGTAATCTTTGTACAAAAATCTGGCTGTCACCTATATTGCACTGCTCACTGCATAACGAAATATGTACGCTGGTAAAGTGAAACAAGGCTTTTTCATAAATTAATTAGTAATTATGAATGTTCTCAAAATTCTCAAACCGGGATCAACTCATAAATTTATTTAAGTAACGTGTTTTAAAAATTTCATCGAAACGAAAAGTTTAAAACTACGGTTCTTTTCGCGTATAATTGATATCTTATTATTTATTATTATTTCACAAAATCCCATGAACATCAGACAAATTCTTTAAAAAAGACTCAAAAATAGAACCTACGATAATTTCCATAATTTATTTTTTAACGTAAAGTTCAAAACCTTATTGAACTTGGATATTATTAATTTCTCAAAAAATCTCAATTGGCATCATAATGCAAATTTTCAGTGGGCATAGAACATAAAGTACGATTTTTCAAGGTACTATATATAAATTTTCTTTAAAAACCCAAAATCGAAAAGTTTTCATAAATTTCTTCAGCTATCCTCAGCAGTGGCAGTGAGAAGAACTCATCTACAACTAATAAATAAATTATAGTTTTCACCAAATTCTCAAACCGGCATCAAGCAATTGCATTTTAAATATATTTAAGCAACGCTTTTTTTAAAATTTCATTAAAATAAAAAAGTATGATTTTAGTTTGGAATTCATACAAAAAATTTGAAGCCTTTTCATAAATTTATCCCTAATGCATACAGTAAAGTTAGTAAGTTTGAAAATAATTTGAAAAATAAAGAAAAAACAAAATCCTCATAATATAAACTGTCATAAATGGCTATGGCAGTTGTTATCTAATCTCTTGTTGCAATTCGCTTGGTTCGTATGCACCTTCGCTTGTGTGTTAAGCTTGCATTAAGTATGTTTGTAACAGTGATCATAATCTCATCACTCTTCACAATAAATTCATTTACTCACAAAAATTGTATGTGTACCAAAATTTTGAATTGCTACATAATTTATCAGAGCTCTAAATTGATTTGTTAGATAAATATGGATGATTCTAAAGACTACACTAAAACATTAACAAAATGTGTAGTTAGGGAAGGTTCTATCATCGGTTGACGTGTGTACGTAACAACTGTGTAGAAATTTCTGATACTTTTGCTTGGTATAATACTAATTAACCGTATCGTACCAAAAATCACAAATCCAACACTGATTTTTCAAGGTACTGGATATATGTAGTATAATTTTTCTTTAAAAACCCAAAATCGAAAAATTTTCATGAATTCATTGAGCTATCCTCAGTTTTGAAAAGAACGCATCTACAAATATTAAATAAATTACGATTATCACCAAATTCTCAAACCGGCGTTAGGTTATTGCAAACAGACATATGTAAGCAATGCCTTTTTAAAAATGTTTCCTACTGTCTGGAATTTGCATCGAATCACGTCAAACTATATTTTATAAAGTTGAAATATATTTTTGTAAATTAATGCACTTTTAGCACAAAATTGGTGAATTATGCCATGTTACTTTTATAAAAAACGAGGCTTTTTCATAAATTTATCCCATAATAAGAACGTTACATAAGTAAAATTAGTGAATTTGAAGAGACGCTCGAAACAAATTCAATCTTAATTTCTTCAAAAATATAGCGGAAATTAAAGGCAGTATAATTTCACATGCTTTTTCGTAAAATTTTCCTTAATCTTTGTGGAAAAAATTGTCCCTTAAAATTTTAACTAGTTTAAAATGTTACAATTTTTACCAAATATTCTTAACTGGCATTAATACGATTAAGAGGATACGGTCTCTGAAATTTACCTAAACATAAAAAAATAGATTTTATAAATTATATATGAAATTTATGTTTTTATAAATAAAAAAACTTACATTTTAAGCATGAATATGGTCAAACTTTGAAATTTTTATATTTGAAACAATAATCTTAATAATGTCTTAAAAGAAAAAAAGCTCAGTAATACAGACACGAGCTTTTCATAAATGCGTAATAACGACTCTTTCAAAATGCACAATTAGCATCGATCAATGCATAAATTACGCTTTATGAGTTTAGTAAAAATTTAGAAAAAAGCAAAAATTTAAATAAAAAAAAAACTCGAAAATCGATAAATTTCGTAAATTAGTTATCATTAAAGTAATTCAGCTTTCATCCATCCATCCTTTCATCCATCCCAGAATCTATTATCAACTAAATATAATGATTTTCTAAAAATTCTCAAACTGGCGTCAAGGCATGGCACAAATTTTTGCAACGTTTTTTCCATTGTCATCAGACAATTTCTTTTAAAAAAACGTTCAAAAGTAGAAACAACGATAATGTCCATCAATTATTAAGTAGCTTCAGCTACTTTATGTGAAGACTTTGTCTGTCTGTCTGTCTGTCTGTCTGTCTGTCTGTCCGTCTGTCTGTCAGCAGGATATCAGGAGAACGGATTGAGATAATCGAAATCGGTTTTCGCCATCATACATAGGACCCCAGGGGGAGGATCCTATCAACGTTTGGGGGCAACCGGACCACACCCCCTTTGGCGACAGGGGGTGTGGTCGGGGCAAAATGAGATTTTTAGTGCAATTTAATCTATAGGTGAAATAGAGTAAAATTATGTGTTCCGGAGTTGTGCCACACCCCCTCGGCGCCAGGGAGTGTGGTTGGGGCAAAATGAGATTTTTAGTGCAATTTAATCTATGGGTAAAATTAGGTGAAATTGAGTGAAATTAAATGAAATTAAGTGAAATTAAGTGAAATTAAGTGCTTCCCCGATTGTGCCACACCCCCTCGGCCCCAGGGGGTGTGGTTGGGGCAAAATGAGATTTTTAGTGCAGTTTATTCTATGGGTAAAATTAAGTGAAATTGAGTGAAATTAAATGAAATTAAGTGAAATTAAGTGAAATTGAGTGTTTCCCCGATTTTGCCTCACCCCTTCGGCGCCAGCGGGTGTGGTTGGGGCAAAATGAGATTTTTAGTGCAATTTAATCTATAGGTGAAATAGAGTAAAATTATGTGTTCCGGAGTTGTGCCACACCCCCTAGGCGCCAGGGGTGTGGTTGGGGCAAAATGAGATTTTTATAAAAAATTAATCTATAGATGAAATAGAGTGAAATTAAGTGTTCCCGAGTTGTGGTGGGACCGTTTGGGGTGAAGTACGTCTGAAGCTACTTCCGTATGCGCGTTTGCGACGGTTTATTTTTAGTACAGTTCTGAATGTATTGAGCGTACTCACGTCAACCTTCGCATATCTCGCATATCTCGCAAATTGAGCATAGCAACATAACTTGCGAAGTTTTGCAAGATATGCGAGATTTCGCAAAAATTTTGCTGGAAAACCATGGGATTTTATTCGCAAATTTACCCAGCAATTGGGCATGTTCTTATTTCGCAAAATTACTTCGCAAACACTCATCCTCACTATCGCCAGCAAGAGAAATTGAAGAAATCCATGGAAACAATGACAAAATAGGTGTTTTCAGTAGATTTGCGAAGTCATATTTTGCGAATCCCCTCACGACAGAAATATTTTGATCTTCGCAAGTTTGCTAAATGAGTTGCGATGCGAAATAAGAAGTTGTCGTGAGTACGCCCATTATTAATTTCTCACAAATTCTAAATTGGCTTCAAAGCCTAATGTAAATTTTCAGCGATTTATTCATAGAACATAAAGTACCATTTTTCAGGGTACATATGGTATAATTTTTCTTTAAGAGCCCAAAATCGAAAAGTTTTCATAAATTAATCTTCATTAATTAATTCAGATATCTCTGGACAGGAAACGATGTCATCTGCAACTAATAAATAAATTACGACTTTCACAAAATTCTCAAACAAGTCATTACAAACATATTTAAGCAACGCTCTTTTTTCAAATTTCATCCAAACAAAAAGGTTTAAAAACTGCGGTTATTGTTTTTATATGATTGATACCCTATTATGTAATGAAATTCAAGAAATTTCAGACAATTTCTTTTTTAAAATAGTTCAAAAATAGAAACAACGATCACTTCCACAAATTATTTTGTATTTAAAGTTCAAGAACTTTATAATCTTAAATTCACCATGTACATATGATTAATTTCTCAAAAATTCTCAATTGACATATAAGCATAATGTAAATTCTCAGCTGTCATTCATCCATCCATGCATATAACATAAAGCATGCTTTTTCAAGTAATGAGGGTTTATAATGTGGTAAATAGCGTAAATTTACGACATCTACGAAAATTCCATGCTTACGAAGCTTCGTAATTATGCGTAAGGTTTAGGCATCTTTTTCGTTCTTAAAAAAATTCGTAACAATAAAAAATCATGATTCGTAACAATAAGAAATTCTGATATTTCGAACACCGTAGTTACCGGTGATATTGGGCAAGGGAAAATTAAAAACAATTTGTACGAAATATTTTTTACGAAGGGTCTTTCACGTCAACCCTTCGTAAATGACGTAAATTTACGAATTACAAAACCCCCCGTATAATTTTTTTTATGAAAAAATTTTCATGAATTAATTCAGCTGTCATTCATTACTTCACAAAAAAACACCTGCAACTAATCAACAAATTATGATTTCCCAAAAAATCTTAAACCGGTATGAAGTCATTAAAAAATGATTATGTAACGTTTTTTTTTAAATTTCATCCAAACAAAAAAGTACGATGTTAGTTAGGAATGCGAAGCCTTTTGAAAAATTTATCGAGTAATACGGTTCGTGCATACAGTAAAATTAGTAAATTTGAAAATAATTTGCGAAAGCAATAACGAAAAAAGTCCTCATCAGTACAAAATCAGAAAATTTCAGAAATGCGTAAAGACTTT